TTGCCAACCGCAGGTAGGCTTTATGAGATGTTTTAAGAGCAAAACATTAGTAAAACACTTATTATATTTGCTTTTAATATTTATAAATATTTGAGAGCTATATGTAGGGGCTGTGTTTCGGTTTGAAGGGTGGGATATGGCGTGAATTTACAGGGTACAGAGAAATAACACCAGAGTCCTCAGGAATGGCAACGCATGGGGGGTATCATGGGCGAAACAATATACTCTGTTATGTCCATGTTACTGCTCATGTCTATAGGCGACGGTTACGACTTTCCATCAGGTGGGCCGTCAGCTTGTTTGCCATTCTAAGTTGTTTAAAAAAAATGTGGGTTTGAATTTATTTTCTTTACTAACTGTAAAGATTCTTATTTGTCCCATTTTTTTTTTTGTAAATTTTGATTGTAAAAACTTTTAAGTGCATCTGCATTTTATAATTTATTTGAATTTGAAAACATTTTACACATTTCAATTTTGAAATTGAACAATATCCATCAGATGAGTCGTTAGCTTGTTTGCTGTTCAAAGTTGTATAAAAATTTAGAGCAGCAACTTTTCATTGTATGTTTTTTTTAATATATAACTCCCCTCAAATATATCAATACATGCCTCTAATAATGTACATATATTAACAAATAACGCTAACGATGCACGCCAACAGCTAGATACGAGTATCTTGCAATATTCCCCCACTACATTATATATTGCTGAATATTTATACAGAACATGGTCGATCCCTCCATGCAGTCGAGATATTTATCCCTATTTTAATGTCTCCTCTTGTTCTTGACATTTTACATTAGTCGCCGTAATGTTATAATTATTAACTGTCCACAAAGAATCGTTTAATTACTACCTTAATAGATCTCAGATAAAGCAGCTAGCTAGCAAGTGGACTTGTTTATCCAGGTACTATTTCAATTATGTGTACATACAGTAGATATTTGTTAGTTGATTATTGCCATTCTAACTCACTGTTTTCTATCCAAGGTATGCGGAGTGGACAGAGTGATTATCATTTGATATATTGTTTGATTGATATTGTATTTTATTTATCTTTCCTTGATTTTAATTATACGTTTAATTTAATTAAGTGAGCTTGAAGACGTGTAGATGGAGAGACCTGGTATGAAGTTAGATAGATTGATACGAAAGTAGAAACCGCCTTATTGATTTTTTTTTGCTGAAATATTCAAACGAAATATTGTAAAATGAGTTATAGCAAAATGCGCAAGAGTAGATTTTAGAATTCAATTAATTCTTTATGCAATAAGATTTAAGAAAAAGCTGTGTTTGTTGTAATAGTTTGTAGAAATGATTTCTTTTTGGTAAACGAGTATGTATGGTATGGTACTCTATTAATTTAATTTTTTTTTTTTTATTTATTTAACACTTTATTGCACTAACATAACATGATTTGTTAAAACAATTTTCAATACGTATAGTGTAGTACAAAAGGCGGTCTTATTGCTAAGCAATCTCTTCCAGACAACCTTTGAGTAGAAAGGATTAAAGCATAAGTAGGTAGGTGGCGCGTTAAAAAAGATAGATTTGTAAAAAATAATATTTGTGACAGCATAGTCATATACATATACATACATAAATAAACACATACAACCAAACATATACATATATATACATACACATACACATATAAATATATAATTAATTTTTCTAAAATTTTGAGTTAGATTATCTAATACAGTAAGACGTGAGGAATTGGCTATAGGCATAGGCATGTCTATAGGCGACGGTTACCACTTTCCATCAGGTGGGCCGTCAGCTTGTTTGCCATTCTAAGTTGCATAAAAAAATGGACTGTCTTGTTTTGACGAGGTAATGAAAGTCACTATTTATTTATTTTGTCAAATTTTCAAGTTTAGGTAATACTTAACTAAGAGTTAATAGATAAATAACATATATCACTGAACTTTTGATGTTGACCAGATTTGAACTTATTATTTTTGGAGGATAATAAGTTGGAGTAGTTTTTTTTTTATGGGTAAGAATGCAATGGTAAAAACCCCGCCTATACAAAATCGGTATATGCTGGCGGGGCACCAGTGAGGAATGATAGGTGAAGATGAATGCAGGTCTGTTAGCCCGACGTGACGAATTCTACAAGAATTAACCACTATGGTTTTTAGGGGGAACTGCGTAGAAGTCGACCTGATACGGTATATTGCTAGCAATGGGTCTTTTAGATCCTACTACTAATAATCCAGTAAATACTGAAAAAATCTATATCTATTGTTTATAAATGACGAGTAAACGCTGCTCTAACCTTTTAATCTTTAGTGTAATATTTACAGACGTCTACCAGACAATATCTTGGAGTGTTACGTCTATAACGAATGCTAACCAGGTTGGATCTAAGGGTATTGTCAAATGTCCGACTGGCCGCCTGACCGTGGATCCTGCGCCGTTTAGCGACGCTTGCGCAATCGTTCCATTGTCGTTCTTTTCCACTCGCATTGATGTGGTTGCGAATCTATTACACAATCGGATAAAGAGCACGCTTCGAGGATGAGTGTTTTCAATATTTTTGATGGGAAGTCAAGGAAATTCACTTCGTATTATTTTGTACGCCTTTTCACTTGCTTTTCGGTGTTTTGACGTTCTCTATTTAAATTATCATGAGCTTACGAATGTTTGTTTTTAATTTTAAATTTAAAAAATATAAATTAATGTTGGTTCTTTTGCGGATATCCTTGTTTCGGATTCTATCACGCAAAGAGACTAGCCTCCTCCATAGCCCGTTGAGAAATTTGAAGTATTTAATATATAATATAATTTTTATTTGTTAATATTACCAGTTATAACTCAATTGGGAGTCAATCACAAGTCACTTCAAATATACGTCTCAATTAACCTTATAGTATTATTATTATATGTACTCGTATTTGATATTTTTGTGCATTACAGGTTTTTGTATTTTATGCACGAAAAATTATTAATTGACTCTTGCGCCACCCGCCCATTTCTATCTGTTCTCCTTTAACCAAAGGTTGTCTGTAAGAGATCGCCCTAGCGATAAGACCGCCTTTTGTACCTTTATGTATATATTTCAATCTGTATTTACGTTACTGTATTTCACTTGAATTATTCACTTGTTATTGTATATTTTTATTTATGGTACAATAAAGAGTTAAATAAATAAATAAATATCAATTCAACCTGCAACATTGAGGTTTGGTAATTCGAAATTTCTAACAAATCCACAGTGCTAGCTAGATAAATGGGTTCCTTTATTAAATTCCAAATACAGTGCGAGGAACATTATAAATTAGAAACAATAATAAATAAAAATCGGAACTAATGCGTGCTGGTCGAATTATTGAAGTGGATCTCCCGGATATTGGGCGATATCTAATGTTACATGGTCATTGTAATGTGTTCCCTATTATTTAACAATGTAAGGTTTAAAATGAAAAATCGGAAACGCCAGGGAGGATCTAGTTCTCGGAGGACGAATCAGTTCTAATATCGGAATCACAACAATTATTGCAATTATTCAATTACGGATATTTGTTTTGTATAATTAATAATTGACTTTGTTTACATCATTGCTTCATATGTATTGTGTATATTAACTAATATTATAAATTGAAAAGTGAGTTTGTTTGTTTGTTACCTTCTCTAAGGAAGGTAAATAATCTTAGTAACTTAAAGTAATCACTATGAAAATTCCGTATATATTTTTAGTATAAGTTAACTACAGTAATCTTTTGGAGGAAACAATAAATAGTATCTATCCATCTATCTGTACGGGATTTTTTTTTATACAACTTAGAATGTCAAACAAGCTGACGGCCCACCTGATAGAAAGTGGTAACCGTCGCCTATAGACATGAGCAGTACCATGGACATAACAGAGTATACTGTTTCGCCCATGATACCACCCCATGCGTTGCCATTCCTGAGAACTCAGGTGTTATTCCTCTGTACCCTGTAAATTCACGCCATATCCCACCCTTCAAACCGAAACACAGCCATGCAAACACAACTGCTTCACGGTTGAAACACGAATGGGACAGAGGTACCCAAGCAATCGACTTTTGTACAAAGTCTCCCTCTGGTGACATTGGCTCCATTTTATGCCAATCAGTGAACATATTCCAGTCGCGTCGAGGGTAAAAGCTAGTTAATGAAGTAATTTTGGATTTCTTAAAAATAATATGAGACCAGTGCAAGAGTGCTCACCACATGTATGGCTTTTGAGATGTTTTAAGAATGCAGCTGAACATTCCTCGACCATTAAAATAAATTAAAAAAAAAGTATAATATACTCATACATTATTGACAATTATTATTAAAAATGAGAACTCTCTTTAGTCGATCAAATATTGTGTAAACGAATAATGGGCAATGATGTTAGTACTTTATTATTATTATTATTTGCAAATAATTAATTACCGTGTAATTATTATTTTACTACGTGTGAAGGGAATATAATTGGATTTAGAGGTATACACATATACGTATGTTCATAAAAAATATAATTATTTTTCCAGCCTGTCACCTATTTATTTCAAAACTAATATTATAGTGGTTTTAATCAAGCCATGAACTTCTCGAATAGGTTTAAGTTTAATAATTATTACTTAATTATTTAAAAAGTGTCCAATAATTAATTTATATTATGTCTCATATATTATACCAGAGGGAGACTTTGTACAAAAGTCGTTTGCTTGGGCACCTCTGTCCTATTCATGTTTCTACCGTGAAGCTGTTGTGTTTGCATGATTGTGTTTCGGTTTGAAGGGTGGGATATGGCAGTGAATTTACAGGGTAGAGAGGAATAACACCTGAGTCCTCAGGAATGGCAACGTATGGGGAGTATCATGGGCGAAATAGTATACTCTGTTATGTCCATGGTACTGCTCATGCCTATAGGCGATGGTTACCACTTTCCATCAGGTGGAAGGCCCACCTGCTTGTCTGCCATTCTAAGTTGTATAAAAAATATATATATATAAATAAATAAATTTGTGACTTACCTTGCATCCTTCGCAGGTGAAGGCGCCAAAGTGGAACCCGGCCGCCGGTTCGCCGCACACCTTGCACTTTTGATTCATCTGCAAATTAAAACAGAAAATAATTTTAATGTAAATAATATAATTAATTAATTGTACACATATTCTTGTTTATTTTATTTTAAAATTATATCTATTAAAGCAACATAACAGCTTGTATTTTTCTTAAGAGCTCAAAGATGTTTTACGATACTTAAACACCTTAAATAGACTGTAACGAATTTACATATTTTACAAGAATAAATGTGTTAAAAAGTTTAAAATCAATACAAAATCACTATTAAATATGTACATGATTAAAATAAAAATTTATATAAAATCTAATAATAATAAAAAATTACTAACAACTTATTGTATTTTTTGATAAAAATAAGTGAATATACCGCGTTATTATTCCGACTGAAACTGTAATATTGTTTCTCTTATCGCTTGATACAAACTACGCAGAACAGCGCCACAGAAACCCAATTCAGTATTAATACGCCATGACGGAGATCAACCATTTTCCAATCAGTCATTTAGATGTTAATTTCGAGGACCATGGCGCATGTTATTGCATCCGATAAATCGTTTTGTGCAACGATTAATAATGTATCGATTTATCGATTGAAATCATTTCGCTGCTTTGCTTTTTATTTGCGTTAAATGTAACGTAATTTTTCTTTTATTCAGAATATTAATAAGTTTAGTTATAGGTGTGAATTTATTTATTTATTTATTTATTTATTTATTTATTTATTACATCCAAGAGCTGGGTGAGCCTTAGTTATAGGTGTGAATTATAGACATATATAAAGTGGTAACTGTCGCCTATAGATATGGGGAGTAGCATGGACATAACAGAGTATACTGTTTCGCCCATGACACCCCCCATGCGTTGCCATTCCCGAGGACTCAGGTTACGTTATGTTATTCCTCTATACCCTGTAAATTCACTGCTATATCCCACCGTTCAAACTGAAACACAGCCATACAAATAACTGTTTTACGGTTGAAACACGAATAGGACAGAGGTACTCAAGCAAACGACTTTTGTACAAAGTCTGCTCTCTGGTAAAAATATAATGTAACATATATAAAATATAAATAATATATTAGTAAATTTATTAACATAGTTGTTTTTAATCTAGTTGCGATTATAACTATGATAACTAATAATATAATTGATGTATGTATGGTATGTGTTTGAGTATGTTCTCCTTCACGTGTCGTGTAACGTCGTGCAATATTAACTCATGTTTATTAAATAGTTCAGTACGCGATTTGTTATGTTAATTTGTAGTACACGATGCATAAAATAAGAATTGATATTTCCCACCTTCAGAGAATTTATTTATTAACCTGTGTGAGTATTATTTTATTGTATTTTTTTTAATATTTTTATTTTATTAGTACCATAAGAGTGTTTAATCTTTATTTCCTTACTAGCTGACCTGGCGAAATTCGTTCCGCCTAACAGTAGATTCTTTAATTAGTTTTATGTTTCGTAAAAAGAGTTTATATATATATATATATATATATATATATATATATATATATATATATATATATATATATATATATATATATATATATATATATATATATATATATATATATATATATATATATATATATATATATATATATTTTTAAATGTATTTACTCATGGAATTTCTAAACAAGACGGGAGATTTTTAGTCAAGCATAATAAAACCTACAATGGCCCAGCGCAGCGCTGTGCTATCTGACGACAGTACGGTGTACTCGTAATCGCTTATCTAAGCTTATCTACGTATCTCTGTGTTTCAGTTCGTTTTTCAACTTTATATTCATTATAATCTTGCAACGGATTTTTTTTATTCATATAATTTTTTATTTGTTCAACAGTTGTATTAGAACGGACCATAAAATGTATTTGTCGACGCTGCGGATCAGGTGCGGTGACCGTCCACATCGCGACGGGATGCCCATTGGCAAACTGTTGTACTGAGATAAAGTATACTTTACATTTACAATGTATATATCGGAGTAAATTAAAATTACTGGTTTACAATTAAGGAAATGTATTAATGGTGAGACTGAATGTTTTTCCTCAAATAAACATGGATTTTTATAATTAAGATTGCATTCAACAAAAAAAAAAGGAAACAGAGTTTAATTGCGGCAAGACGAGTTATTGTGATTTAAAAATCAAACTACAAAACCGATTTTGTTAAAATTGCTACGAGATTAATTTGTAAGTATATCTTATCAGATAAAAAAAAAATCCAAATTTATTTATAATTAATAGGGTTGTGAGGTATCAAACATAAAAAAATATAACCGAATCGAGGACCTACATTCTTTGAACTCGGTTGGAAGCAACGACATATTTTTTGGAAGGTTCAAAATTGTTGGTCAATTGTCAATTGTTAATGCTATTTATATTTATATTTCTGTTATGTTTTTTTAGAAATAATGCTTGGTTTAATGCATGTGAATGATGTTGATTTAATTTTATATTATACATATACTCCATTTTAATAAGATTAATGCACTGAACTGAATGAATTAAACTGAGTTGGAAAAAATTACAATGGCAGTTCCACTAGTTTTGATATTCAGAACCTTAATAGACATTTCTGTTCCTCTCCTAATGTTGTTTCTAATGACAAGTTAAAAACACGTTCTTATCTTTTTTTGCTTCCAACTCCTGATTAAACTCCTTCTATTTTTGAACAATGAGACTATACCAACACTCATTGTAAAGTATACTCGGTTTCAACCAGTCAACTCGAATACCTCAGTGCCGGCGCTCTCGTCTCGCATCTAGTAAATCACGCAGCGTGCTCTCGACCCGCGCCGCTTATCGCTCCGCTCATCTGTCCGCCGCCCGCTCTAAATTAGATCGGACACGATTCTGTACAAGTCCCCGTCCTTGTTTTTAAGAGAGAAACGATGTCACCAATGATTTGTCGTTTTTATGATATCGGCCGTGTGTCTCGGTTCTTTATTATTTGCGCACGCGCAACGGTACTCGCCGCATGAGGTATTCGCTCTTCGTGTTCGCCTTTAATTATTAAGTATGTTAATGCAAAATTATAATTAATGGAATTACGTGTCTCATTTTATTTAATGAATTAATTTATTTAATTTCAGATCGTAGTATAGTGTGTGCCGTGTGGTCCCGGCTTGGAATTCGCCACCCCTTAATACATCCCTGTTAAATCAATGCACCGCCATTTACTCTCCCTGTTTAGCGTAACGGTTGACTGGTAGAGAATGCCATCAGGCATTAAATAGATAATATTTTATTATATATTTTAATATTTTATTTAACTGTATATTTGTTTATGTACTCCAAATATTAATAGTTGTAGCACTTCAGCTGCCCGCTAACAACATGTTTTCTAACTGCATTGGGTTGACTGGAAGAGATCTCTGTCAGAGATAAGTCCATCTTTGCTCACAACATTTATAAATGCATTATATTACATGTAATTTAAAAAAAGAAAGGAATGTTGCGTCGGTTTGGCCATTTGGAGAGGATGGATAAAAGAAGAATTACAAAAGAGATTTATCGAACAAGAATGAATGGATATGTCAGTAGGGGCCGCCCTAGACGGACGTATGTCAACCAAATAGGCTACGTGCTGAAGAAGGGCCAAATTAAAAGTGTCCGTAACCGGCGAGCGTGTATGAAAAGATTGATGAATGTGGAAGAAGCGAAAGAGGTCTGTTTGAATCAAAGCATTTGGCGTTCCATTGTTTCTGTCTACCTTAATGGGAGACAGGCGTGACAGATATGTATGTATGTAATTTACAAGTGCAATAAAGATATTATTTATATAAATCCGCCCTGTAGACATATTTTAATGTGTGACAAAGTATAAATAAATAAATGGGCCACATTTTCTATTCCCATGGGTGTCGTGTCGTGAGAGGCGATTAAAGGAACTTAACGGTTGAGAGACGAGCAGCAACTGCGGTTGTCAACCTATCTGCAAAATTTTTTTTAATATAACCTAGAATGGCAAACAAGCTGACGGCCCACCTGATGGAAAGTGGTAACCGTCGTCTATAGACATGAGCAGTATGATACCCCCCATGCGTTGCCATTCCTGAGGACTCAGGTGTTATTCCTCTGTACCCAGTAAATTCACTGCCATATCCCACCCTTCAATCCGAAACACAGCCATGCAAACATAACTGCTTCACGGTAGAAACACGAATAGGACAGAGGTCCCCAAGCAATCGACTTTTGTACAAAGTCTCCCTCTGGTAAATTAAAGGAACTTAACGAGAGACGGGCAGCAACTGCGGTTGTCAACCCACCTGCTAAATATGGTAACTACTGGAAAAACTGCCTTTCTGGAGGATTCAGCATTGGACAGTTAACGACTGATATGATGATGATGATGATGATGAATATTTCATCATCAAAACAATACAACTGAATCTGGTTGAAAAGAAGGTGAAATAATATGATTTTAGTCGGAATTAAACATAGGTAATAATGTAAATTAACATACATTCATAGTATTGATAAGTAGGTAGATAAGAGGCGGTACATATTATAATTATGTCCTCCAACAGTGAGTGGGAGGTGGCTTGTCAATGGTGACAAAACGTGACATAGTAGTGGGTGATACCGTATACTCGTAGTGCGTGCACTAGATGAAATAATATAGTACGTAATTATATACTTATTTATTTATTTATTTCACACAAGGAACATGTAACATGGGTACATGGACCCCGTACTAGGCGACTCTGTATCGCGGGAGTCCATAAAGGGAAACATAGTGTTTTACAAATACCAGTGAGGGATTGTTTATGGGATGATAATGGAATGGTAACTCCAGTCCAGGGCACCAGTGAGGGATGATAGGTGATGATGAAAAGGCAAGTCAGTTAGCCCATCGCGATGAATACACTTGGAATTCAGCACGATGGCTTCCAGGGGGACCACGTGGAGGTCAACCTGACTGAATTTATTGCTAGCAACGTCCCCCCCCCACCCCCAACCAATAAGGGATTTTTTTTATGGTTTGCGGTACAGTATTTAGGTCATCCCGTTA